CTTCAACGTTTGTCTGTAGTTCAATCCTGGACAGATTTGACATGCGCATTTGAATCTCAGTTTGGTCCATCTCCTTTTGACTGTCCAATGGCTGAGTTGTTTAAATTACACCAAACGAGTACGGTTTCGGATTATTATCTGAAGTTTATGTCATTGGCAAATAGATCAATGGGCTTATCTAATGAAGCTTTATTAAATTGTTTCTTGAGTGGGTTACATGCTGAAATTAGACGTGATGTGGTCGTCCAAACACCTACTTCTTTGATGAGAGCAGTAGCCTTAGCAAAGTTATATGAAGATCGATACTCACCCACAATTAAATCTCACCCAGTGCCTGTTCGACGTTATTCTCCAATGGCTGCAACGAGTTTTAATACTTCACAGCAATAACTCAAACATGTGGTTAAACCAAGTCTTCCACCATTATTACCAAAACCTCCAATTCCACCCTTGACTAATAATAATGTCAAAAAAATATCTCAACTAAAATGCAACCACTCCGCAGGACAGGTCCTATGTTATTTTTGTGATGATAATTTACATTTTAATCATTGTTTCCCAAACAGACAGTATTTGTTATTGAATCTAGAGGAGGATTCGTTGGATCCTAATTATGAGCCACCACCTGATCTTGATCACCAGGTTGTTACGGAAGAAATTGGGAGTGAAGACCATCATTTATCACTCAATGCACTCAAAGGAGGAGTTGGGGTGGGTACAATTCAATTTTTAGCTTATATTAACAAGCTACCTGTGACTGTTTTAGTGGATGGAGGGAGTTCAATATAATTTTCCTGCAACCTCGCGCTTGCCAAATTTTTGAGTTGCCTAAGAACCAGCTCCCATGTTCCAAAGTATGGTTGGGAACGACAATTAATATGGCAGCAGAAGGGTTGATTCAAAACCTGTCTTACATGCTCAAGGAATGTGTTCCAAATCCCCTGCATATTTGCTTCCATTTCAGGTGCAGATCTTTTTTGGGATTTTGGGGGCTAACTGGTTGAAAATGTTTAGTCTGCATTTGGCTGATTATGCAAGGCTTTGAATCTTCAAATTCTTGTATAGTGGGAGTTTGTCACATTGCAAGGGGATTTTGAGAATGTGCGATGCAAGCTCAATTATCCGCATAATGGTCAACACTATTCCATTGCAGAGGTTTATAGCGTGCAAATGGTGGACCCCAACATTCAATCTTTTCCTTTGTTGGAATTGCCTGCGAATATAGCACCCGAAATTGCATTATTGTTGCATACATATAGTTCTGTTTTTTCTACACCTTCAACTTTGCCTCCACAGCGTGCTCATGATCATTCTATTCCTTTAATGGGAGGCTCAAATCCAGTAAAGGTTAAGCCATATCGTTATCCTCATAGTTAAAAGGAGGAAATTGAGAGGCTTGTTACAGAGATGCTTCAGGAAGGGATTATTCAACCAAGTAAGAGTCCTTTTTTTTCACCTATTCTACTGGTGAAAAGAAGGATGGGTCTTGGAGAGTTTGTACATACTATAGAGCATTGAATGCCATTACTATAAAGGATAGTTTTCCAATAGCTATTGTTGATGAGTTAATTAATGAACTTTTTGGTGCTACAATCTTTTCTAAGTTCGATTTGAGATCGGGATATCATCAAATCTTGTTGAATATGGAGGATCGTTATAAAAAAACGAAAACGGTTTTTCGTACGCTCATGGACATTTCAAGTGGGCTTTGTCCATGCCATTGGACTCACAACGCTCCAACCACTTTTCCAAAGTCTGATGAATCCATATTTTTCAAGGAATATTGAGCAAATTTGTTTTAAGTGTTTTCTTTCTTTGATGATTCCTTTGTCTATAGTTCATCTTAAAGGAACAGTGGTGAATCATCTAGAAGTGGTTTTGTAATTTTACAGCATCATCAATTTATGCTAGTTCTCAAATGTTCATTTGGAGTAAAGGAAATAGAGTAATCTTGGTCATACACCTCAAGTTCTGCTCTCCTGGTGGTTGCTATGGATTATAAAAATGGGAGGCAGTCAAAATGGTGCCCGACCAATTAATCTAAAACAGTTTGAAGGTTCCTTGGTCTTACGGTTTTATTACCAAACCCTTACCTTACCCCGCGGGGTTCTCTTTCTTTCCAAATTTTATTCCCAAATGTAGCTCCATTAACAGAATTGTTGAAGAAAAATGCTTTTAAATGGACTGAAACAAAGACAAGGGCCTTTACGCAATTGAAAGAAGCACTCACTACAGCACCGGTTTTGGCTATACCAAATTTTTCCGCTCCTTTTGTTCTGGAAACAGATGCGTCTGGCTTGGGGGTATGAGCAGTTTTAAGTCAGGGTAATCATCCCATAGCTTATTTCTCAAAGAAATTGTCTGTGAGAATGCAAAAGCAATCTGCATATACACGGGAATTTTATGCGATTACTAAGGCGTTGGCGAAATTTAGACACTACCTCATTGGCCACAAGTTTATTACTAAAACGGATCAAAAGAGTTTAAAGGAATTGGTAGAACAGCGTTTGCAAACTCCAGAGCAGCAACCGTGGTTACCGAAGTTTTTGGGCTTTGATTTCACAATTCAATATAAACCGGGAAAGGAGAATGTACCCGCTGATGCGTTATCACGAAGTGTTATGGTGGCTGCGACAATTCAGAAAGATGTGAGGTTGAAAGAATTATATGATCAATGTTTGACAGATCCGTTACAGTCCCAAGATTATAGGATTAAGGAGGGGTTATTGCTTTGGAAGGCCGTATTTGTTACTAGTAGATGAGGAATTATCAACAAATTTAATTTGGATTTCATTCTCGAAGGTAGGATGGAATGCGGGAGTTTGCAAAAAAACATGGCTAAAATTTTGTTCTCAATCTTTTTGGCTTGGATGCAACAGAGGAATTCGAAAATTTGTTCGTGAAATGTCAAATTTGCCAACAAGCAGGTACAACAAGCTTTAATAACCGGCAGGGTTAATTCACCATTACAATTCCAGTACAATGTTTGGGAGATATAGCAATGGATTTTCGTACTTGTTTGCTTTGTGATCGCATGGTGGTTTTATAGACTGATCTCAATTTGGAAAATTTCATTCACCTCAAGGCTAATTATTCAAGTAAGATAGTTTGTTGAAGCTTTTTGTTAACAACATAGTGAATTATATGGTGTACCTCGTTCCATTGTCTCCGACCAGGGACAAAGTTTTTCATTAGCTCATTTTTGGCAACATCTTTTCAGGCTCAATCAAGGAACACATTGGCTAATGAGTTCTTCATAACCATCCCAATCGGATGGACAGACAGAGATTTTTAATAAAACTTTAGAGATGTATCTTCGCTGCTTCGTTTTTTACTATCCCAAAGGGTGGTATGATATGCTTCCATGGGCCCAATTTTGGTACAATTCTTCCTTGCACCAGAGTATTGGTATGTCCCCTTTCAAGGCTTTATATGGTAGAGATCCTCCTACTATCATAAGATATGAAACTGTTTCTACTGACCCAATTTTTGTTCAAGAGATGCTAACAACTAGGGATACACTCCTTCATCAATTGAAATTGAATTTATCTAAGGCCCAGCAGTACATGAAACAGCAAGCGAATAACAGACGAAGGGATTTTCACTTGGATGTTGGTGATTTGGTATTAGTCAAGTTACAACCTTATAAACAACATTTTGTTGCCTTAAGGAAAAATCAGAAATTAAGTATGCGATATTTTGGTCCATTTGAAGTTGTAGCCATAATTGGAAGTGTTGCTTATAAACTTAAGCTTCCTGATACTGCAAAAATTCATCCTGTGTTCCACATATCCTTACTTAAGCCATTTAAGGGTAGTCCCTCACACACCTATTTACCCTTGCTCCTTACAACTAATGAAGTTGGTCCTTGTGTTCATCCATTGCAAGTTCTGGAATTCAGAATCATTATGAGAAACTCACAACCAGTTCCGCAAGTATTAATTCAAAACGACTCATTGGATGTAGCTGCTGCCACTTGGGAGGATGTATTTGAGATACAAAAATCTTTTCCAGAATTCAACGTTGAGGACAAGGTTGTTTTCAATGGGAGAAGTATTGTAATGTGCAAAAAAAAATGAAATCCAAAACAATGCTGAGCTGGATAAGAGAGAAAAGTTAGTTAGACCACAAGAACACATGACAAACAATAAGCAAGGAGAAGAAGACCAAAGGAAAAGCATGAGGTGTAAAGAAAAGAATGTATTTCTCAAAAATTATGTGATCTAGGTCATTTTATGCGTGTGATAATTTCTTCTCTGACAATTCTGTTATGCTCTCTCCCTCTCTCAAATGTTCTTCTGTACCTTCTTATTCTGAAATGCTCTCTACCTTTTACCAGGTTACACTATTCAAGAAACTATTCCAAAAGATACCCGTGGGTTATGTCGGCTACTTAAAGTTGAAATAAAAATTTATGGAACTGCATTACATTCTCTATTTCTGCTTTTACTTCATTATAAAAGGATTTTACCATTACAGACTTTACTACTATAAGATCTCAGTTTTCTTATTCTGTTTCTAGAAATTATGTCTTTGGAAATTATTTGTTTCAGTAGGTAACTCGAAATTAGGACTATACGTCGAAACTGCATAAAAAAACTTACAACACAAATTGTTGATTCTCAGCATTGTGAAAATCCCATGTTTTCGTTGGCCACTTTTCCTTTGAATTTAGCAAAACTTGTGTGATGTTTTCTTACACTGAAAAGAGACTTTTCATAGTCTTACATCATCCAAATTTCATACATTTATCATTGGAAGAACGCAAACATCATCAGTTATCATATCCAATAGTCTTCTTGAGAAGAACTAAGAGGAGCTGCTAAGTAATGAGCTGAAAATTATGTTAGATTTGTGTAAACGTAAATTTTAGGGGGAAATTTTTCACCAGAGAGACAGACATCATCATGACATATAAGTTCAGTATGCCAGTGCAGAAGTGCATACCAATGTTAAAAAAAAGTGCATCAACTACAATCCTATATCCAAAAACTTTAATAAAAATACAAAAAATAGTTGTTAATTTATATTTCAATGCGATAAGCCTTTGGATGGTGTTACCACTTTTTTCGGAGCAAAGGAGGTTGCTATATCACAACTCAAGCTGTTTATCTACCATAATCCTAATTCAAAATTTACAACATCGATTGGTGGAAAAGAACTTTGGCACCGGAGTATACAGATTTAGCGTCATCTGCACAAGACAGAAAAAAAGAAAACAGAGGGTCATAATTGAAAAGAAGATCGCATGATCATGGTTGTAAAAGCACCGACAATCAATAAACAAAACCATACAAAATCTTAATCCATAATTGAAGAGAAAATACTATTTATTAAGTAGTGTACAACATAAAATTTTGCTTAAACAAACTCTTCTCGTTTTTGGTTAGACCATGGGATATTATATCAACACTCTTTGCTGTGCCTTTACATCTTAATCCATAATTCAAATAAATACTTATTAGGCTTCATATGAATTTTTCATTTCTCAAACACTGATTCAAGTCAACATGTAGGCTGCCAATTTCCAAACAGAAAAGCAATAGAGATAACAAAAATGAATTATTTGTCACCAGGGATGCTGATAAGTTCACTACGTAACTTTCAAGCATGTAACAGAAAAATAGCAACTAGATATGCGTATGACCATGGCTATGACTAAAATACAAAGCTAAAACTTTACCTGCGATAGCTGATAAATTGAAAGCATTAGGGACATTAGCCTCAGCCTCAACAGCAGCTTTAGCCACTGCAATGCCAACTGACACACTTTGCATAATATCTAATCCTGCACAAATTGATGTGAGTATTCCACCCACTAAGCAATCACCAGCACCAGTAAGCCTCACAACTGACGCAGCAAGAGATGGAAAATGCACAGCAAAAAAATGGGAGCTTTTATTAAGTTCTGAAAAGCCAGAATAGCCACTAGGAGGACATTTTTGCATGAAAGCGTTGAATAATTGTCCACCAAAACCACTCCGATTTATTTTCTCTGTAGGCTTTTTAAAGTGGCGAGGCCCTCCTTTATGGCATAAAAACACTCCATTAGAGCCAACGGTCACTAGGACCACTTCAATGCCATTTTCTAGCAAAACCCATATTGCTGGTTTCAGCAATTGAAACAAAGACATTACTGAAATATTTTTCTTCTGACTTTCTTTAAATGGTTGAAACTTATCACAACCAGATATAGCATTTGCCATCGCAATAAGTTCATCTTCATTCGGTGAAACATAAGTCACCTACACAAAATATGCACAAGTGTCAGGAACAACTTTTTACGAAAAAAACACAAATGCTATCCTATGACATCGCTAGAGTTAAATCATATGCACATTGCACAATGTAATATATCGAAAGAAAACTAGTAATAATGGTAAATATTTAAATTTGTGCATATTATAACATCATTATTAAGATAATGAATATCAAGAATTCAAGACAAAGTAAGGAAAGTTGATGACACAAAACAAATATTTACAACGACAGTTAGGGATTATGTAAGTATTGCAATCAGGTTTATTATGAAATACTATGAATTGTATGTATTCATATAATTATGGAAATTGTTATCCACTCTATTTAAAACTTGTATTATACACAAGAGCCTCCACTATGTAAATTAAACGCATGGAATTTATCTGGTCTCTCATTCTTCTCTCTCTTTCTAAACAACTACTTCAGACTACAGCAATCCCCAATTAACCACAACCAACTTTAACAAACCATGAGATAAATCTAATAAAGAATATCAAGTTTTTGTAAAGCAAGGCACTCACATACTCAACAATAAAACTGATTCTTCGGGATTTAGTAACTGATACTGGCTCAAACCACACAGGACACTCCATGTCAGCCGCCACTGAGGAATGTAGATATTTATTTATTCAATGGAAAACAACATATGTAATGAGTTCATAATCCAGCAGAGAGGGAAAAAGAGAATTAAAATGTTAGCATGAAATGTACTTTTACAAGCAGCTTCAAGAGCAGGAAGACTCAGATTGGCATCCACCATTAACACTGGAGCAGAAGGCAAAGCATTTCTAAAGTGCAAGATCCAGTCAGGTGTCAGATATTTTTCCTGCAACATGATGATTGTATTATATATGTTTTCCTTGCTTCAGTCTTTTACAACAACTGTCATTACAAAAAAAGTTTCAAAATACATATTTTAGCTTGCTTAAGTTAGGAGATTACTTGATAGCTTAGTACTTGAATGGTCAACTTACAAGAGCTTCCACACTAGCAACACCAGCTGCTACCTCCCCATTAATATCAAATAAATTGCATACGACTGGAGTTTCAATATCTTTATCCTTCAAAATACCTACTTCAAATTCAAAAACATACAGAAATATCATTGTTTTACAGTTATGGCATATCTAATGATGAAGCCACCAAGAAAAAATAGCTTACCTTCTGCAGATAGGCCAGCAGATTTCCACTGATTCAACAATAGATTTCCTAGATGAAGAAAAAATATAGTAGAAGAAGAAATTTATTCTCCAAATGTCATTTTCATCAACATGTCTTCTGGTACACTGAAGTCATTGAAGAAAATCGGCAGATGATTCTTAACAGATTGGAATGACATACATATCAGTTGGCAGGCATCCTTGGAGGGGTACATTCTATTAAGACAGCCACAATGTTACACTTCCCTGCTTCAGATGTGTCTCTGACACAGACACATGAACTCATGTCAGATACACTATTCAGTCAGCACGGTTATGTTCTTGGGCACAGCAGCAGTAACACAGTCCACTACTTGGACACACGTATCACACCCGATTTAAGAGAAAGAAATAGGCACAAACAATCTATAACAGAATTGATTCACACAAAAGAAGAAGAAAAAAACAAAATTTTGAAGAGAAGAAGAATCGTTTGTTGAGTTTCAAACAAAAATGTTGCATACCTGCAGAAATGAGGAAGTGGGAAGAAGCATAAAGGAGGGAGACAGGTAGATCAGGAGTGCTAAAAACAACTTTTATTATTATATTCAAATCCTTTAACCAGTTTTCTATTATTTTCATCTTTTTATATTATTTTATTCGTATAATTTGTTATATTGTAAGATTACTTTTTGCTATAATTTATTTACATTATGTTTCTTTTCAATTTAAAATTTGAATAATGATTTTTTATTTGATTTTCATATTCAAGTGTATTTTTTATATTTAATCTATTTTTGTTATAGAAAATTAGGATGAATCAAGTTATGGAACAAAAGGATGAAACAAAATCTTTGTAGATATCCGTTTCAAATTTAAGAAAGACTACTCTTAGTGAAAATAATATGATCAAGTATAGTTTGTGTGATTTTTCATTCCATGGATCTTATACTCAAATAAGAGCTCATTTGTTAAAAATTAATGAAAGAGTTGGAATTTGTCCAAATGTCACCCCATTAAAACATGTTGAGTTCAGAAAGTTATACAATGAAGCAAACTTGAAAATAGAAAATTCAAAAGAAAAAAGGGGTCCCTCCACCACATACATGTATTTGAAGAAAGAAATCAGACAAACAATGGTGTTAACCCAAAACTCAAAGGTTCTTTACAAACTTCTTTCAATATTCAAGTTAAAGATACTCTTGATTGTGAAAATTTATGTTTAGCAATAAAATACTAGTCTTTTATCTCACCTAATTTATCTATTGACTTCCAAAGCATTAGTCCACCATCAGTGATAGTCATGAAATTTATAAGTAATCTTCTTTGAGAATCAATCCACACATCACTAACAATCGTTATACATTTCTGATTTCATGAATTTCATATAGGTTGCAAAAGATTTTCTATGTTACACCTTTCTTTTGAAAGTAAAGGATCTCTCAATTTATTATGTGGTTATACATATCCACTAAAATTAAAAGTATTAGCATCATAAGAAAACATCCTCACAATTTGACAATCAAGACTATCTCTAGCTTGAATATTGAAAAAAGTTTATAAAGAACCTGAGTTTTGAATTAAAACCATTATTTGTCTGATTTGCTTCATCAGATCCAAGTGGTAAAGGGACCTTTCTCTTTCTTTGAATTTTCTATTTTCATTTTTGTTTCATTGTCTAACTTTTTAAACTCAACAACTTTTGACGGGATTATATGTAGACAAATTCTTACTCTTCCTCCAATAAATGTTAACAAATAAGCTTTTACTCGAGTATAAGATTCATTATATGAAAAAGCACACATACTACCTTCGTTCATTTATTTCCACCACCAAAAGTCTATCTTGACTTTGAAACATATCTCCACAAAAGTCTTGTTTCCTTCTTCCATAATTTGANTTATCTTACATTATAAATAAACTACCCTATGTGTATGCTAAACACATAAGGGAAATTTCTCCTAATCTTCTTCACTATATTTAACAACCCGAATTAAAAATAAATAACAAAACAGTTGGAGATGAAATTGTACCCAAATTTCTTTTGTGGTAACTTTTTTGTGTATATCTCATAGTAGAGTCATTGATTTTCCATATTAGACTGAATTTTATTTTATTTTGAAAACTTCAAACAATTATATATTTGAGTAGGTAACTCGAAATTAGGACTGTACGTCGAAACTGCATAGCAAAAACTTGCAAAACAGATTGTTGATTCTCAGCATTGTGAAAATCCCATGTTTTCGTTGGCCACTTTTCCTTTGAATTTAGGAAAACTTGTGTGGTGTTTTCTTACACTGAAAGGAGACTTTTCATAGTCTTACATCATCCAAATTTCATACATTTATCATTGGAAGAACGCAAACAACATCAGTTATCATATCCAAGAGTCTTCTTGAGAAGAACTAAGAGGAGCTGCTAAGTAATGAGCTGAAAATTATGTTAGATTAGTGTAAAAACGTAAAATTTAGGGGGAAATTTTTCACCAGAGAGACAGACATCATGACATGATCAAGTTCAGTATGCCAGTGCAGAAGTGCATACCAATGTTAAAAAAAAGTGCATCAACTACAATCCTATATCTAAAAACTTTAATAAAAATACAAAAAATAGTTGTTAATTTATAGTTCAATGCGATAAGCCTTTGGATGGTGTTACCACTTTTTTCGGAGCAAAGGAGGTTGCTATATCACAACTCAAGCTGTTTATCTACCATAATCCTAATTCAAAATTTACAACATCGATTGGTGGAAAAGAACTTTGGCACCGGAGTATACAGATTTAGCGTCATCTGCACAAGACAGAAAAAAAGAAAACAGAGGGTCATAATTGAAAAGAAGATCGCATGATCATGGTTGTAAAAGCACCGACAATCAATAAACAAAACCATACAAAATCTTAATCCATAATTGAAGAGAAAATACTATTTATTAAGTAGTGTACAACATAAAATTTTGCTTAAACAAACTCTTCTCGTTTTTGGTTAGACCATGGGATATTATATCAACACTCTTTGCTGTGCCTTTACATCTTAATCCATAATTCAAATAAATACTTATTAGGCTTCATATGAATTTTTCATTTCTCAAACACTGATTCAAGTCAACATGTAGGCTGCCAATTTCCAAACAGAAAAGCAATAGAGATAACAAAAATGAATTATTTGTCACCAGGGATGCTGATAAGTTCACTACGTAACTTTCAAGCATGTAACAGAAAAATAGCAACTAGATATGCGTATGACCATGGCTATGACTAAAATACAAAGCTAAAACTTTACCTGCGATAGCTGATAAATTGAAAGCATTAGGGACATTAGCCTCAGCCTCAACAGCAGCTTTAGCCACTGCAATGCCAACTGACACACTTTGCATAATATCTAATCCTGCACAAATTGATGTGAGTATTCCACCCACTAAGCAATCACCAGCACCAGTAAGCCTCACAACTGACGCAGCAAGAGATGGAAAATGCACAGCAAAAAAATGGGAGCTTTTATTAAGTTCTGAAAAGCCAGAATAGCCACTAGGAGGACATTTTTGCATGAAAGCGTTGAATAATTGTCCACCAAAACCACTCCGATTTATTTTCTCTGTAGGCTTTTTAAAGTGGCGAGGCCCTCCTTTATGGCATAAAAACACTCCATTAGAGCCAACGGTCACTAGGACCACTTCAATGCCATTTTCTAGCAAAACCCATATTGCTGGTTTCAGCAATTGAAACAAAGACATTACTGAAATATTTTTCTTCTGACTTTCTTTAAATGGTTGAAACTTATCACAACCAGATATAGCATTTGCCATCGCAATAAGTTCATCTTCATTCGGTGAAACATAAGTCACCTACACAAAATATGCACAAGTGTCAGGAACAACTTTTTACGAAAAAAACACAAATGCTATCCTATGACATCGCTAGAGTTAAATCATATGCACATTGCACAATGTAATATATCGAAAGAAAACTAGTAATAATGGTAAATATTTAAATTTGTGCATATTATAACATCATTATTAAGATAATGAATATCAAGAATTCAAGACAAAGTAAGGAAAGTTGATGACACAAAACAAATATTTACAACGACAGTTAGGGATTATGTAAGTATTGCAATCAGGTTTATTATGAAATACTATGAATTGTATGTATTCATATAATTATGGAAATTGTTATCCACTCTATTTAAAACTTGTATTATACACAAGAGCCTCCACTATGTAAATTAAACGCATGGAATTTATCTGGTCTCTCATTCTTCTCTCTCTTTCTAAACAACTACTTCAGACTACAGCAATCCCCAATTAACCACAACCAACTTTAACAAACCATGAGATAAATCTAATAAAGAATATCAAGTTTTTGTAAAGCAAGGCACTCACATACTCAACAATAAAACTGATTCTTCGGGATTTAGTAACTGATACTGGCTCAAACCACACAGGACACTCCATGTCAGCCGCCACTGAGGAATGTAGATATTTATTTATTCAATGGAAAACAACATATGTAATGAGTTCATAATCCAGCAGAGAGGGAAAAAGAGAATTAAAATGTTAGCATGAAATGTACTTTTACAAGCAGCTTCAAGAGCAGGAAGACTCAGATTGGCATCCACCATTAACACTGGAGCAGAAGGCAAAGCATTTCTAAAGTGCAAGATCCAGTCAGGTGTCAGATATTTTTCCTGCAACATGATGATTGTATTATATATGTTTTCCTTGCTTCAGTCTTTTACAACAACTGTCATTACAAAAAAAGTTTCAAAATACATATTTTAGCTTGCTTAAGTTAGGAGATTACTTGATAGCTTAGTACTTGAATGGTCAACTTACAAGAGCTTCCACACTAGCAACACCAGCTGCTACCTCCCCATTAATATCAAATAAATTGCATACGACTGGAGTTTCAATATCTTTATCCTTCAAAATACCTACTTCAAATTCAAAAACATACAGAAATATCATTGTTTTACAGTTATGGCATATCTAATGATGAAGCCACCAAGAAAAAATAGCTTACCTTCTGCAGATAGGCCAGCAGATTTCCACTGATTCAACAATAGATTTCCTAGATGAAGAAAAAATATAGTAGAAGAAGAAATTTATTCTCCAAATGTCATTTTCATCAACATGTCTTCTGGTACACTGAAGTCATTGAAGAAAATCGGCAGATGATTCTTAACAGATTGGAATGACATACATATCAGTTGGCAGGCATCCTTGGAGGGGTACATTCTATTAAGACAGCCACAATGTTACACTTCCCTGCTTCAGATGTGTCTCTGACACAGACACATGAACTCATGTCAGATACACTATTCAGTCAGCACGGTTATGTTCTTGGGCACAGCAGCAGTAACACAGTCCACTACTTGGACACACGTATCACACCCGATTTAAGAGAAAGAAATAGGCACAAACAATCTATAACAGAATTGATTCACACAAAAGAAGAAGAAAAAAACAAAATTTTGAAGAGAAGAAGAATCGTTTGTTGAGTTACAAAAAAAAATGTTGCATACCTGCAGAAATGAGGAAGTGGGAAGAAGCATAAAGGAGGGAGACAAGTAGATCAGGAGTGCTAAAAACAACTTTTATTATTATATTCAAATCCTTTAACCAGTTTTCTATTATTTTCATCTTTTTATATTATTTTATTCGTATAATTTGTTATATTGTAAGATTACTTTTTGCTATAATTTATTTACATTATGTTTCTTTTCAATTTAAAATTTGAATAATGATTTTTTATTTGATTTTCATATTCAAGTGTATTTTTTATATTTAATCTATTTTTGTTATAGAAAATTAGGATGAATCAAGTTATGGAACAAAAGGATGAAACAAAATCTTTGTAGATATCCGTTTCAAATTTAAGAAAGACTACTCTTAGTGAAAATAATATGATCAAGTATAGTTTGTGTGATTTTTCATTCCATGGATCTTATACTCAAATAAGAGCTCATTTGTTAAAAATTAATGAAAGAGTTGGAATTTGTCCAAATGTCACCCCATTAAAACATGTTGAGTTCAGAAAGTTATACAATGAAGCAAACTTGAAAATAGAAAATTCAAAAGAAAAAAGGGGTCCCTCCACCACATACATGTATTTGAAGAAAGAAATCAGACAAACAATGGTGTTAACCCAAAACTCAAAGGTTCTTTACAAACTTCTTTCAATATTCAAGTTAAAGATACTCTTGATTGTGAAAATTTATGTTTAGCAATAAAATACTAGTCTTTTATCTCACCTAATTTATCTATTGACTTCCAAAACATTAGTCCACCATAAGTGATAGTCATGAAATTTATAAGTAATCTTCTTTGAGAATCAATCCACACATCACTAACAATCGTTATACATTTCTGATTTCATGAATTTCATATAGGTTGCAAAAGATTTTCTATGTTACACCTTTCTTTTGAAAGTAAAGGATCTCTCAATTTATTATGTGGTTATACATATCCACTAAAATTAAAAGTATTAGCATCATAAGAAAACATCCTCACAATTTGACAATCAAGACTATCTCTAGCTTGAATATTGAAAAAAGTTTATAAAGAACCTGAGTTTTGAATTAAAACCATTATTTGTCTGATTTGCTTCATCAGATCCAAGTGGTAAAGGGACCTTTCTCTTTCTTTGAATTTTCTATTTTCATTTTTGTTTCATTGTCTAACTTTTTAAACTCAACAACTTTTGACGGGATTATATGTAGACAAATTCTTACTCTTCCTCCAATAAATGTTAACAAATAAGCTTTTACTCGAGTATAAGATTCATTATATGAAAAAGCACACATACTACCTTCGTTCATTTATTTCCACCACCAAAAGTCTATCTTGACTTTGAAACATATCTCCACAAAAGTCTTGTTTCCTTCTTCCATAATTTGATTCATCTTAATTTTCTATAACAAAAATAAATTAAATTTAGAAAATTTACTTTAATATGAAAATCAAATATAGAAATTAAATAAAAAATCATTACTCAAATTTTAGATTTAAATTGGAAACAAATGAAATGTAAATAAATTATAACAAAATGCAATAGAACAAATTACAATAAAATAAGAGAACAGTGATTAAAGGGTTCGAATAAAATAATGGATTAAATATGTTTTTCGTCTTTTAAGTATCACACGATTTTGGGTTTAGTCCCTACTCGAAACTTTGATTGCTTTAATCCTCTTAATTTTAAAACTTGTATTTTTAGTCCTTAAAAAGTAACGGCGTTAGATTTCCTTATGAGGTGGCTAACGGCAAGCCAGTCTGATGCCACTTGTGTTCCACATTGCTTTTATTTTTTGAAATCAGATTTAAGTGATGTGACAAGTATGTTTTCATTTATGAAATCAGATTAGGGGTTTTTTATGTTTGAAAATAATTAGGGTTCTTAGCAAAAATCAAAAGTCCGACAACAGCAGCAACACCCCTCTCTCCCTCTCCCACCAAACAACAACAAACTCATAAGATACTAAAAAGGGCACAAGTTCAAATTCTGAATACATCAATTTAACCCACGATTCAATTTCTGCCCCTTCTTAATTCCAGAGTTGTTCTAGACATTCAAAATAATAATAAAAGGTGATGGTTGCCACCATTGAAAAGAAAAAGGAGTGCACAATTTCGCAAGTAATTGAAGTGCTATAGAAGAGAAGTTAGGTTATGATACATGGACGAATGCGAGGGAAGGAGTGAGAAAGGCGAAGAATGGGCCAGAAGTAGAAGCAATTGACGGCCAAGAGGAGAGGCAGAAGAGCGAAGCTGAAATTGTAAAACCTCCGTCGCTTTGAGTCACTTCACTACTGCATCTGATTTTGATTCAGATTGCCTGCCATGGAAAAGAAAAAACCAAAATTCATACAAACACAGCTGAAATTCAGATTATTCAATCCTGCTTTTTACTGTTTCCGTGTGTCAAGTCGAGAAGAAAACACAGCCTAACAATGACATTGGAGGAGGCGGTGGACGCTGCTCCGTTGAAGAGTAGTAAAAGAGAGAAAAAAAAAAGCAACGTGGCACAAAGTTATCAGGGAAAGTGGCATCTGATGTGGCTCGCCGTTAGCCACCTCACAAAAAATCTAACGTCGTTGCTTTTTAAGGACTAAAAATACGAATTTTAAAATTAAGAGGATTAAAAACAATCAAAGTTTCGAGTAGGGACTAAACCCAAAATTGTGTGATACTTAAGGGACGAAAGACATATTTAACCCTAAAATAATTATAAAAAAAGTTGCTTTTAGCACTGTTGATGTACCTCTCTCCCTTCTTCATGTATCTTCTTCCCTTTTCTTCTTTTTGTAATTTTCTTGTGCAACAACAACACAACAAATGGTTCTTCATTTCAAAATTTCGTTTTCTTTTGCAACTGCAACACAAACAGTTCTTCTCCTTTACTTCAAAATTTACTTTTTTTTCTTCTTCCTCTTTCTTTCTCCTTCCTTCGTGTGATTCTTTTATGAATCAAAATTGCAATCTATAGTTTGTGCCTATTCGTTTCTCCTAAATCGAGTGTGTACACGTGTCCAAGAAGTGGATCGTGTCACCATCACTATATCCAAGAATAGAACCATGCTTGACCCAATAGAGTGTATATGTTAGGTTACTTTATGCGAGTAACCTAAATCTATGCTCTCTTCTCACTCAAACACTAGAACAACAGAAATGAAAGTATGTATGTATGTATTATTGATTCTGTAAAGTATAGGAAATTACAAGTGTAATCTCCCCCAAGGAAGTCTATCTTCCTCCACTGGCAAATATACCCAGTCTATACTCAAAAATGAACTAAATCCCCTTGAATAGAGTTACAGGAAGACTATAATGTCTCATTCTCGCGCCCTATCCTTTCTGCTAACCCAACTTGCTTCTACTAAATACCGTTCAATACTAGCGTATATATATCGTTCGGTACTAGCGTACATATACCGTTCGGCCTTTACTTCCCTCCTCCCTTCTGAATACGTTCGGTCTATACTTCCCTTCTCCCTTCTGGCTACCGTTCGGCCTCTACTTCCCTCCTCCCTTCTGGCTACCGTTCAATCTCTACTTCCCTCCTTCCTTCTTCCTACCGTTAGATCTTCCTCTTTTATTCCTAACCGTATCTGACACCATGTCTTGAACATGTCAATTCCATGTCCCTATCAGAGACATGTCTGAAGCCAGGAAGTGCGACATCTTAGTCATGTAAGAGCTTCATAGGTTCCTACTGTTTAAATTATTAGATTCTTTTGTAACACAATGGCTATTTTTATGTATTCAACTGGTGTACAAAGTATAATATTGTAATCAAGGATCTAAGTAACTAAAGGTAGTCAAAAAATCAAAGTGTTAAGCAACGGACATCAATAATTAAGCCACCACAGATCAGTCAAATCTAGAAGATTATTGGAGTTAAGTAGTAGGACTTGACATGTACTATTGATCTGATTAATGAAATATTATGAGTAAAAGCACATTGTATATCTATTTTGTAGGAGGGCATTCATTGTAATTCATTGTATATTTGCAGGATTGGGGATTGCATAATCTTTATAAAATTTCCATCCAAGAACTATTTCCAATCCTTTCCTCTCATTTCTAGGACTCCATAGATTCCAAAGAATATTGTTTTATACCACATTTTGCTAAAAACAATAATAGTACATGGCTAAAAACAATACTACATCTGTGCTTTACTCTAAGTAGGACATAAACATATATCCAAATTTTGAACAGCCAATAGATTTCAATAGATATCAGCTGAAGTTGCCATACAGGGTGCCTCTTGACCACAATAAAAGCTTGAAGTAAAAAGAAAAACAACATTGCAAGAAAATGCTTGGGGATAGTAATTATTTACCGGCCATGTCAAACCCAATAGCACTGATCATGAATGGCTTAGCTCCGAGTTTTGACATGCACTCTGCTACATTCCTCCCCACACCTCCTCTAACATAATAGACCTGAAATTCTCCAGTATAAGAATAAGAAGATAGATACAAACATGAAAAAGATAAAGAATATTAAATCAGGGCAACGACTGCTTATGCTTGTCACATCATTAACACAATTGAGTTAACACAAACAGAACCCTATTAGGTTTCTTTTCTTCTTTCCTTTTCAGATAAAATAGATTACAACCTTGCCAGGGACAGTTGTTCCAGAATTTGCTCTCACTGAAGGTGTAGCGTGAATGTCCAACACCATACCCCCAATTATTACTACTTCTCCATCTCCATGCTCCAATTTTTTGCCTCTGAGTGCAACCTTACCACCATCAACAACAAACAACCATCAAGTAAATTGGCACAAAATGCAATGAAGTTAGAAGAGATAAATAAAACAAAATAACATGAAAAAGAACTGCAGTGAGTAAACAATTATTAGCAGCTAACATGACCTTTAACTTAGAAAATAAAAAAGAAATATTAGCATGAAAAGAGCTTGCAGGATGCATAACCATTTATTAGTCTCATTTCACAAAACTTCATTTTTCCCCTAATCCTACTCTCGATTCCTGTTACTGTATTTATCTCCACTCCTACACTGGCACAGAACCAATCAAGTAGCAGGTAATTATTCAAAACTATACAAATCCATATGAATGGCATGTCTCGATAGTTCCTCAGTGAAAACCTATACCTTTGTACTTGTCCTTATGAATTTATACCAATAAACCGTATGCTTTCATAAGTGAAAAATTGTCCCCAGTTCAAGAATTGTTTAGGAAATTGGCTTCTCCAAGTAAAAATGCACTAAATGTAATACAGTACTTGAAAAACATCAAATAGACAGAGTGGAACAACCAATCCTGAAGAACAGTACTGAGGAATTTCAAAATTGTTTGTGAAATAATAGCAGGTTTATTCTAATCAATGTATCATGTATCAACGATTATGAAATATACATATAACTCCCTAGTGAATTACGGAAGAAAGAAATAAACAAAACGCAAAAAAGAGAAGCAAAAGGAACCTCGGAAGTAACGGATCTTTTGGCCCCCTTAGGGACGGTGGACTCCGCCATGCAGTCCTTCTTCACGGTTGGAAACTTTGTTAGAAATGAACAGAAGGTGAGTTTACTGGTTTCACGTATACCAGTTTTAACCTAAACCCAAAATTATAAAAATGATGTTTATATAACAGAAGTGCAATTTATGAATTTTCAAGATTTTTTTTTTTTATGTTTCTCAACATTTTTGTAACTTCCAAATTAAGTCTATTATATTGTTCGATGATGATAATTATTATATTATGTCGTTATTTTATTACTTACTTTTATAAATAAGAGAATATATAAAATATATTGTAATTAATATGAAAAAATTATTTTTATTAATACTAAAGTTATAGAAAATTGTAGTTTAGATGTTAAAAGTAAGAGTAACAAAAAAAATTATAGTTTATTATTTTCATTGTAATTGTTTTATATTACGGATAAAATTAGAAAGAAATAATTGATGATTAAGATCATGTCATCTTAATATTATAAAATTGATACAATTTTTTTAAAAAAAGATATCATTATTATTATTATTCATCATATTTATTATTAATGTTAAAGTAGAAAATCATATCTAAAAAATGTTGTATTTCAACAACTAGACTTATTATTTTAATATTAAAAGTTTAAAATCTGAATAGAATTTTTATAATTAAATTTATTATGTAAAAATGCATTATTTCTTTAAATCCTTTTTTTATATAGCTCTTAATCTCCTCTCTCTCCTTCTTAACCATCTTATCATTTGTTTGAGATAAGAGAACATTTGAGTGATTCTTAAGGCGAGATCATCAACTGTATCTTATTAGTTTCTGTAAAAAGAGTAAGTTGATTTATACTCTTTTCCTTAGTATATATGTTTTTTGTGCATGTGAGTTACTTTAGCTTGCATGTAACATTCGAGTCTTCTATAAGACTCTGTTGATTAATGGTGTGTCCTAATCATGTTTCTATTGTTCGTAGGAGTAAATGGAGTTTCTTGAGCTTTTGGAGTTTTTTTAGAATCTTTAGAGTTGTTTGATCATCCTTCAGGTAATGGAAGCTAATGACATTGATTTTAACTAATAGACAACTTATAATAACTTATTGTAGGTTTGTATGATAGTTGGTTTGTCAAATTGAAGTGTATGATGAATTATGACATGTTGAGTTGAGTTAGGTGGTTTCAATCGCCTTTTAATAACATTGATAACTTTTGTATCACTTATCCATCTATAAGATTGGAATCTTTAATGGATAAATCTGCAATATTTTTGTTTTCTTGAAGTCTCTCCTTTTTTTATCCTCATCTACAATACAATAAAAACGAGTGTTAACTAATAATATTGAAACAGAAAGAAATAAATAGGTGGGTCGGTGAGCAGGAATCAAATTGGACTGTATCGAAATTTCAAATTTTTTTTCAACCCAACTTGGCCTGAACTTATGATGGGTCGATTTGGCTCACGGGTTCCAACCCGCTTTGATAATATTAGTTGGAAAGACAAAAATTTGCATAATTATGTAAACTCGTTGGACGAGCATATACTTGTTGGGTGAAGTCAAAGTCAGAGAACTACTGACTTGGTGGTTGTTAGGTGAGACCAAAGTCAGAGAGTTCATTCACTTGACAATTGTTGGGTGAGAATATACTCTCTGGACGACTTTTAGGAGAATTTAAACTTGTAAGTTACAGAGATATGCTCGCTAATCAAGTTATTTGGTTGTTGGGTGAGTGTGTATTCAGGCACTACTCACTAGGCAAATTTATTTGGTGGTTGAGCAAATTTGCTATCAGGTACTAGTCACTAACCGAGCAAGTCTTGTGGTTGAGTGAAAATACCAAAACTTTAACTAAATTTACATATATCTCTTATGATGGGTTTAATGTGTGTGTGATTATGTGAATGTTAAAACAATGATAGGTTTATAACATGACATGTGAATGATTGATAATAATCCAAGGAGGATTGATGATGCTTAAAGTAGTGTGTATATTGATATATGGATCCCGTATTAAGAGTTATCTTACGCTTTAATAATCATTCAATCTTAAGCAGAGAAGGGTCAGGTATGTGGTGAGAGGAGTAAAAGGTCCTAATACAAGGGCCTTGGCCAAAGGTGTTAACGAACGAACCTTGTGTGTAGTAGGGTGAAACTCATTGGCAATTGCTCTGTAGAGAAATAGAGGCCACTATAAGTGCATAACTCATCAAAGTCTAATATTAATACATGTATCCGGATGGTCAAGTCTATAATGAATGATTACACGCCTTAGGATTGGTTGATATAAATTCGTATATGTGTTGCCATCTATATAAATGTTGTATGAATGTTGTTTTGGTACATTAGCCTACCCTTTCTTTCTGTGTGTTTGTTTATGTTTCTTCTTGTTTGCAATGATCACCTAAATGGTGAGTAGACGAGGATGTTCCAGTTGATTAGGTGCAGGGTGAGGGAGATGTTGCCGCTTAAATAAGATTGATTATGTTTTTTGTATAAACCTTTCTTTTTTGAAAAATTCTAGCTTCTAATGGTGTGTATATAAATTTTTATATTCAGTACATGCTTTAAGGATGATTGTAATATAGTAGTTGTATGTTTGTCTCGTCTGCTTGTCGATAATCATTCTTATAACTTTCATTTAGTAGTTTTACACTATTAAAATGAAATGTTACATCGTTGGTATCAGAGGAGTTGTTCCTTATGAAACCTGTTGGTTAGAGTGTGCTTAGTTTCTATTGTGTACTCTTCATTATGTTTGGTTAGTATAGTTTCTTTGAGTTAGAATAATGGCTTTTATTTGTGTAGATAGAGTTATGGTACCTAGGCCATCACTTCCTCCCCCTCCAACCTCGAATATACCCAACCTAGCAAGGGCAATCGAGTCCATGGCAGCAGTCCTCCAACAATATAGTGTTGTCATGATGCAACAACATCAAATGACCTTGCAACAGATGGAATCTGATAGGCTCTCTTTTGAAGCCACCTAGTAGTAGCATGTGGAGGTTTCAAGACAGTTAAAAGAACTTCTTACAGCATCATCCGACGTAGTTTGATGGGAAGACCCACTCCAAAGGGGTTTGATTAATGGCTAAGAGATCTGAAAAGCATCTTTGACACCAAGATGTGTCTGGGTGAGAATAGGTTGCCTTATTTAGAGTATTAGTTGTCTAGAGAAATAGTTCACTAGTGGGCATGATGTTAGAGGAAACTGGAGAAGATATCATATAGGAGCCCTTCAAGAAGAAGTTTTATACCAAAAATTTCCCTGACACTGAGATATATGCGAAAGAGGTGAAGCTTTTGAAAATGGTTATTTTCAAACCAACTTATAGAAATTATTGAATTTTATATACTTAAAAAATATACAATTATTTAAAATGTAAATTCAAATAAAAAATATTAAAATATGATTTAATATATCAATATAAATAAAGTTTAATGTAAAATATAAAATTTAACAAAATAGGAAAAGTTTATAAATTTATATTATTTTATGAAATATAATTGATAACCAAGTTTAACATAGTTGAAATTAATTTTAAAGTTTTCTTTATTAACATTATTTTCTATTAACAATTTTAAATAAAATTTAACGTAAAAATATAAATTTAAATAAACTTAACCTTATTAAAAATATTTAATAAAAATATCAATTTTAATACATATTTATATAAATACAAAGACCAAATTGAGATAAAATAATTATACTAATAATGACACGTGACATGTGACACTAACATTATCACATTACATTGTTACTATTACTTGAAAGGTTTAATACCTCTTTTGGTCCCTCGAAAGGGGGCAAATGTTCAATTGGGTCCTACCTTTTTTTAGAAGTTCAATGTGGTCCCAAATTTTGTAAAAAGTGTGCAATCAAGTCCTTTTTGGAAACGGCGTTAATTTTTTAACGGAGCAACTGACAGGGTGGACTGAAGTTTGCTACGTGGCTGTGTGAGGGTAATACGTGGTTTTCCTAATTCGAAAAATCCTAAATTTGAAAATTAGGAACCTAATTAAAATTAGAATTAAGAGGGAAAACTCCCAATCTGAAAGGATTATGAACCCTAAATTGGAAATCCCAATTTCTTTCTACCCTCTTCTTCTTATGTCTGCTTCGTCACGCTCATGTGAGGGAAAGATATAGTTTTCCCTTCTCTTCTTCTCCTTCGGCGCTGCTCTGCAACCATATGGCAGCTTCCTTTCTCTCACGTTAGGACAACTTGCGACAGCTTTGGGGTGGTCCGCGGCGGCGGAGCTTGTGAGCGACACAGCGGCAGAGGCGCGACCCTTGGGGTTTCGATGGTGGTTCGCGCGGTGGGTCTCGAGCGACAGGTTTGCGGAGATCAACGAAACTTCGCCGAGGTTGGCCGCTCGATCTCTGGGTTTTGGTTTTTGTTTTTGGTTCTGGTTTTCTGCAGGTGGAGGGCTGGCCTCGCGGTACTTTTCGAACACGACGAACACCCTTCAGAAGAAGTCATTCGTATCTCAAACACCAATTTCTCTCTAACTCAAACCCTAATTTCTTAACCTCAGTAATATTACCCTCTCACAGCCACGTATCACCCTCACACAGCCACGTATTACCCTCACACAGCCACGTAGCTAACTTCAGTCCACCCTGTCAGCTGCTCCGTTAAAAAATCAACGCCGTTTTCAAAAAGGACTTGATTGCACACTTTTTACAAAAATTGGGACCACATTGAACTTCTAAAAAAATGTAGGACCCAATTGAACATTTGCCCCCTTTCGAGGGACCAAAAGAGGTATTAAACCTACTTGAAACAACATCAACTTCACATGTGATAATTTTTTTATTTTTTAAAAATAAAATAAAATTAAAATTAAAAGAAAAGATAAAAGCTTGACACCTATTTAAGACACATAAAATAAACTTAATTGAGATTTTTCAATAAAATGTGTACCAAATACATAATTTAACTTTTTTTAATTAATTAAATTGTAAGCGACCAAATTTATTAAAATGTTTTCTATTTTAGCTTTTACAAGTGAGTTAACTATTTCTAACTTGATTTCTTTTATTTTAACTTTGAAAAAAAGAAACAAAGACAAATGAATAAGTCAATCGAATTTTAGTAGATGATTAATGACTATTTTAATTTTGATCACTAAATATTTTTTCCTATTTTTATTTCTAATTGAGATATAAACTAAATTTTAGTATTTAACAACCGAAAATTTCCTTCCTAAAATTAAACTCTTTTTCAGTGTTTATCATGTGCACTTATACGCTACTTTTTGCAAAACTAAAACCTTTTTTTTATAAACTTTTAAAATCTAATTTTAAGATAGTTATACGCTAACTTTAATTTATAAAGAAATTTATTTTAGTTTTTTTTTAAATGATTTGGGAAAATTTATTCAAATGAAACCCTTGTGAAGATCGTTCTTACATAATTCAAGATAACTTCTATAATTTACATACAGCTTTGTAGAATTTGAAACTTAAGAAAAATATGATTAACAAAAAATGTTTAAATAATAATGCTTTCATGTAAATATTTATTATCTTTCAATGAATAACATTAAATATTTTTAAAAATAATTAAAAGATAATATTTTGCAAGTTAATTAAGTCATTAGTTTTATTTAAAAAAATTTACACGACAGAGGTCATAAAATAAAATATCATTATATAAGTTATATGATTATTTTATTTTAGTTTATAAAAAAAATATTACTTTTAAATCCTTATCATTTAAATAAAAATAATTTAAAAGTTATTGTTAACATATTAAATTTAAAAAAAAAGTAAAGTTAGATGCAGTTATTTTACTTGTAAAAGAATAATAAACATAATTTTTATTTTAGCTAAAATAGCAGAGTTATTTTAATTAATTAATTTTTATTTTAGTTAATAATTTTCAATTTTAGCACCAAATTAACTGTAATAAACTATAGACACTAAAGAAACAACATTAAACAAAGGTTGGATATTTAAAAGTAACAAAACTAAAAAGAAAACTAAAAGGCAATATTTACAAGGCTATTTTTTATTTTATTTTTAGTACTGTATTTATTCTTATAATATAATAATATAATATATTATTATAATAAGCTTTTGTAGTAGTGTTATCTGAGACACTCCATGAATCCAATTGAAACGCCACCAAATAATTAAAAAATAAGAGAGAATATATCTTGTTTTAAAAAAAGATAAAATATTTTCTTAATTAAAAATAGATAGTATTAAGGAATAAGGAATAAAAAAAGAAAGAAAACTTTCACCAACCCTCAGCAATATAAATAAGTGGGAAGTTGTCTCTTCATGATCACCACAAAGCAAAAGTGTTGAACTCACAAATACACAGAGAAGAGAGAAATGGCTTGCAGGCAATTATGGGCTTCAAGGGCTGCTTCTTATCTCAGGATCTCAGTCTTCCACAGAGGCTTTTCCAATGGTAACATGCTTTCTCCTTAACCCTTTTCTTCTCTCTCTGTTATGCTGCGATCTGCTTTTTATTTTTTTTCATTCATCATTCAAAATTTATTTTTCTTTTTTTGTGCTATGATGTGGATCTTGATCTATGTATTTTCTTTAATGATCTGAATCTAGGGTTTCTTCTTTTCGAGATTGGAAATTCATATTTCTTTGTACGATTTCTGATGTATGAAGTGCATTCATCATTGTGCTAACTTATAGTGCGTGGATTCAGATCTCTCAATTTGATGGCACTGTTCACATTTTTTGTTTTTTTTGCACCGTTTCCTTGATGTTATTATCTATGCATGTACTTTAATGGCACGGAGCTTTCTAACGGTGGTGTGGGGAAAGTGCACCCACCCACCCTCCCTGAAAAGTAGCACACAAATAATGCGTCTAATCTTTTATAATATTATCTTCACATTCTTAATGGCAGTATTATCTGTGACCTATAGAATATGTTACGTTCTGAACCTGGTATGATCAAACAGGAGGATGACAAGGGTGGAGCTGGTAATAGATAGTGTATAATGATAGAAGGGGTAAGAGGGATTTTAACTAGGATAAATTCCATTAAAATTTAAAACACTTGACATTTGTAAGCGTTTTCAGAGTTTATTAATGAAAGTTCGAAACATGGGTTGTAGCTATGCTGTTTGCTAGATTTAATACTAGATCAGAGAGAAAGGATTTTTGTTGTTTTCTAGTGCATTTTGGAAATTTGCTAGAAAATAATTTTGGGTGTTTTGGCTTTTTGAAGTTAACCATTGCCTTTTTTCGGCAATGCATTTTTGGGATACATTTATCAATTTCTTGTCGTTGAGTAATATTTTAAATTTTACCTAACTTGATCCTTTATAATCATTCATCCTAATTGGCTGGGTAAACATTTCCATCACACAACTGCTTAGTTTCATATCGTAAATGTAAACATCTCAAGGGCTTAGATGTTTTTCTGACTCTTATCCACATCTGCAATTATATGTCAAATGTAATATTGCATTTGAACCTGTAGGATATGGAAATGTTTGGTTGTTTTCGCAGTAGTTGCAAATAAGATTTATGTAGTTCATCTACATAAAGGCTTCCATATATGAAAAAGAACATCTAACTTGCATTGTTGGCTTCGTCCATGTTTACTTGCAGTTGTTAAAGATCTGAAGTATGCTGATTCCCATGAGTGGGTCAAGGTTGATGGAAATTCTGCAACCGTTGGCATAACTGATCATGCCCAAGATCATTTGGGTGATGTTGTGTATGTTGAGTTGCCTGAAGTGGGAGCCACCGTGACACAAGGAGACAGTTTTGGTGCAGTTGAAAGAGTGAAGGCAACTAGTGATATTAACTCTCCTGTTTCAGGAAAAGTGGTCGAAGTTAATGAAGAGCTTAGTAGCTCTCCTGCTTTGGTGAGTTTTTTTGCCTAATTCTTAAAGAACAGCATTTTACATGAAAGACAAAATGTGTATGCTGAGTTTAGAGGCACTGACTATTCTCCCCCCTTTTTGTACTTTGTTGTTTTTGTATGCTACATCTTGGATCACTACGCCTATGTATCAATGAAGTATTGCAATGAATACTTTTTCTATAAACACTAAGAGTTTTCATGTTGTCCTACATTTCTTCACACAGGTAAACTCAAGCCCTTATAAAGATGGATGGATAATTAAGGTTGAACTGTCCGACAGTGGCGAACTAAACAATTTGATGGATTCAGAAAAGTATTCCAAATTCTGTGAAGAAGAAGATTCACATTAAGATCTTTCAGCACTCTTCCATGGTGTTGTACATCATGTTCATGTTTTAATTGGGAAAGCTAAGAAGGGCTTGTTCCCTTTTCTACATGTCATGTCTTTAATTTTCTATTTTTATTTTTCCTGAAATTCAGAATCAGTGAGATGATTTTTCACTCTTTGCAATGGAAATATGAATTTGATAATGTGGTAAATTCATGATTAGTTTTCTTTATTAAGGTATATCAATTTTGTTAGTTGAATGTAATAATTGAGAAATAAGATGAGACATTGGTTATCAAGAATTGAAGATGAATTGAAATTTCAACTTCCATATTCTTTACACGCCATAGAAACCATTTTTGATATAGGAAAAATCTGTTCGTATCGGTGGTTTAAAATGTATCCCATCTCACTTAATTCTTGCATGATTATGTAGGTGCCTTGTTCCATACATTTCAGAAAGCATTTAAAGGGAAACCTATGTGTATTCTAAAATAAGATAAGACTAGGTCTGAAAAAAAAGTATAGATTATTATGGCGCTAAACGGAGTTTAACTGATGTTACATTTGTTCACATCAGTCACCAGTCAATTTTTGGTGCCATATTCACTATTTGTGCGCCATGTTTAACCATATCTCGATGCTGTAACAATTTAATATCAATATGCAACTGGAAAAGTAGTGCAAAACAGAAAATAAAAATACTGGTATGAGCCATTGGTAACTATATGCCAGAACGCATAATTATATACATACATATACATACATATATATATATA